TTTTTTTTTTTTAAAGATTTTATTTATTTATTTGACAGAGAGAGACAGCGAGAGCAGGAACACAAGCAGGGGGAGTGGGAGAGGGAGAAGCAGGCTGGGATCATGACCTGAGCCGAAGGCAGACGCTTAACGACTGAGCCACCCAGGCGCCCTAAGCTGGTTTGGTTCTTACATCAGTTAACTGGTAGTGGCTGCCTGCCTCAGTGTGTGACCGAAGCTGGAGACTGGGGAGCTATGCCGTCTCTATTATTATTCTCCAGGTTGACAGTACAATTTCATTTCTACATCTCATGATTAAGGCACAAATGACAGGAAAAAGATTGTGTTCAACTTTTTATTTTCGTAAAATCAGAACACAGCACATGCAGTGCTAGCATCTAAAACTAATACAATATGCAATTACTAACTTATAGTGACTTGAGGGTCAATGTCTACATTCAGCAACTTTAAATCGATTCTTACTGATAATATTGTGGACTGATAAAACTGAATATAAAAGTCACTAATTATGGCAATACAAAAAGATAACCACATGTTTGAGGATTGTAAATATGCCAGACAGTCAATGAAAACCAAGCCAAACAAAAACATAACTAAAACAAAACTCACAGAACCTTTGAGAATGTGGACACTTCATTATCAGTGTTCAGAAGTGTTTCATTAATATTTTTAAGACAAGTGTATCAAAACCTTGGCATGTTTTAATTTCAAGTTGCCAATTTTGTCTTAAATTTTGTCAGAAAGTTACAGCTAGCTACATCACCAGTGCCAGGTCTGCTTAATTTGACTCAATTGTTTAATAGAACTTAACATTAAAAGCTCACACTACCCCGAAATATATTATTTCACATATGGTGACATTCAACATTCAAGTGCCAGTGTTTCTGTACTGTCTTTTGGTCAAGTTTCTTTAAACTTTCAAAGAATTCACTTTTAGGCTTACAAAAATAAATATTTGTCAAAAATGTTTAATAAATACTACACAAACTAGCAGCAAAAAGTATCTAAAAATCTTTTGTGTGCAAATAGTTTTCTTCTCACCTATCATTCCATGGTCCCAAATAAAATTTTAGAATCTATTTCTTAACAAGCTGCGTTCAACAATCTCCAAGAGACAAAATAAGATTGGAAGTTTAAGGACACGCACACAAGACATATATATAAAATTCTCTGAATGTGCAATAAAATAAGTACTTTGTAAAAAGTTATGGGCAAAATGTACAAGAATCTAAACCTATACTAATTGAAATAGCACCGTAACAAATGACCTCAATACTGTCAAGTGCACCTACTTAATGGTTTTTAGAACAAGGCACAATATTCCTGAAAATCTATTGCACTTTAAGAAAATTTTTGCCTGCTTATGCCATCAGAGATTAGTTTTTAAAGATTATACATTCTGGCCAGAAAAATCACAGAATTCAAGTAGAAGAGGCATTTTTAGTGGTGGATAATCATCTTTGGCCAAATTTATCATAAAGAGACTATAAATATAATGGAAACCTATGCAACTAAAATAGACTAAAACTGCAGTATATAGAAATAACATCTTATGCAGTTAAGTACATATTTCCAACCTGTGTGTTCTCAAGGATTTCAGTTCGTTGTTGTTGTCTGATCTACAAAGTCTACAAGTGTAAGCCATTTTAACATTTCAACGCAGCTTAAAGAGAGTAATGTGAATCTACATTAAAGTAAAGCCTGCTGCATAATCCCTCCTGCTCATATCCTCTTGACCAAAAAACATCAACACTAGCATGCATGAAAAACCAAAATCCAAGCAGGCCTATAAAGACTGGTCACTGCTATGGTCAGCTATCCTACCATTTCAAGTTTATTTACGGCAGGCATTAAAAAATCTAGTTAGATGAAATCTCCCTCAAACACTTTTGTTGTCAAACCTTTAAAACTTTTCCTGTAATAGTATGCCCACATTTGCTTAGCTTAAAATTAATAACCTAAACATTAAAAGAGGAACTGCTGTTATTTATTTGCATTAACTTTGAAGAATGCTTTGAAAAACGTGAATGTATTCATACATGCCACCTCATCTTGACTGGAATGGCTTATTTAAAAACCACAGGATTCTAAGTGCCTACCCAGGATAGAGTGAGCAAGTCGGAACTTTAGCTTCGTACAGTCTGCCACCTTTGAAACTAATTCTGCCTTAAGATGTTCTCCCCAGTCTTAAGTACCAGTAAGGTCTAATGCAAGCTAATGCCTAAGATTTTTTCCCATCTTAATACCTACAGATGTATTGATGATTCCTGTTAAGTTGTATCACACCTGTGTGCCAAGGTTTGATTTTAGCCCAAGTTCAGGAAATTTATTTTTTCAAAACAAATTGATATCTTGAGCATTATTGAGCCAACAGGACATCAAAATAATAAGCTGTCTAATGTTAAAGTCACAGTACATTAACAAATGATCCTCAGTCACAAAATTATAAATGCAGTTTGGGGTGAGAAATCAGGAGGGGAGTTAATCCAAACTACAGCAATTACGTCTTCAACTTCTGAATAAGGCTGTTGATTGTTCCTTTCTTCTTGTGACTTTGAAGCTCCCTTAAATTTTCAGGAGAATCACAGCTGGTAATGTACTGCAAGGTCTTAAAGCTATAAAATATAGTCTGGCTAAGTTACATGTGGTTTCCGTATTAGCTTGTTTGTAAGGATGACTTTGTTGCACAGCAGATTCAATTGCCCCACCAGTCAACCCCCTGGGAGTTGTAATTTCCTCCATATCCATCACTATTGTAGAAGCCTCCATAGCCACCTATCAAGAAATGTTTGAAAACAGAAATTAGTTCAGCCACTTAAGTTTCTTTCCTTCTTTCTCTGATGAAAATCTAATTCAAAAAATTCACAGTACTGGATTTTGTATTCTTTGGAAATTTCTCAAATTATGCTTTAAGAAAAAATAAGAAGCATTCACCAAAGACAAAAAGCGGGAAAAGTTAACATTAATTACCTCCTCCACCAAATCCTCTGCTGCTGCTGTGACCACCTCCACCACTACGGCTGCTGCTTGCACGACCACTACTAAAGCTAGAACTGCTGGAACCACTACTTTGTCGATAGTCTCTGGCACCAAATCCTCCACTGAATCTACTATTAAAAGGAGAAACATTATGGGTACTTTGTATTTGCAATTCAGCTTAACTGACAATTCCCATGTACTAACTTTCCAATCCTCAATTTCTGATTTTTCAACTCAACTGCTATTATGGTCAGTTCTTGCAATAGTGTTTCTCAAGTCCTGAGCAGTTAAGGGCTGACACTTAACTCCTTAAATTTTAAGTTTTTCCTCATCACCATTTCTTTTTTTATTTAAGATTTTTTATTTCTTTATTTGACAGAGAGAGAGCACAAGTAGAGGGGCAGGCAGAGGGAGAGGGAGAAGCAGGTTCCCCGCTAAGCAGGGAGCCTGATGCAGGGCTTGATCCCAGGACCCTGGGATCATGACCTGAGCCCAACGCAGATACTTAACCTACTGAGCCACCCAGGCACCCCTCCTTGTGACCATTTTTACTTACTATCCCTTGGCAAAAGTGTGTTATGTAGTGGCAGTGTTTTAGTTAATCCTGGACACAACTTCCTGCCCAATGCAAATAATAACAATAATGAAGACTCAAAACTAGCTGTACCTCTTAGAGCGTCCACGACTGCTACCCTTGTAGTGGTGTTCATAAGCCATATTTTCTAACCAAGATGGCACTTCTTGTTTAGCTTCAACGAGCAGATCCAACAAATCCTTCGTGATATTTATGTTTCTTTCATTGAAGAATGAGGTGGCAAGGCCTACAAGAATCCAAAAAAGTACATAAAACTGAGGTTTTCATAAAACAGTATGGTCTTCCTTCTTACGCACAACAGTAACTAGAACAAAAAAAAAGTTGAAATTTGTGATGTAACCAAATTAGATTTAAACAGTAATTTTTAATTATCTGATGTAAGATGTCAGCTTTCCCTTGAAAATAATTTCTAAAATTTAAGATTCTGTGACAAACTATCATCAACTAAACACTTTACCAAGGTTTCCTACACGTCCTGTACGGCCAATCCGATGTACATATTCCTCAATATCACTTGGCAAATCAAAATTGATAACATGTTTCACATTTGAAATGTCTAGTCCTCTTGCTGCCACCTGAAAAATAACTTCTGTTAAAAAAAAAAAGCAATATTCAAACATGCTTAACTCAAAAATAAAAATATACACACAGCTGTAGCCACTAAAATAGGGCTTTTTCCCGAGCGGAACTGGTGAAGGGCCTCCTCTCTATCTCTCTGTGATCGGTCACCATGGATACTGGTACAAGCATATCCTTCATGGTATAAGAAATCCTCCAGAGAATCAGCACCCTTTTTGGTCTCCACAAACACTAAAGTCAGTGAATCCTTCCCTGAAAAATTACACATAAGCTTTTGTTTACTAACAAGTCAGCATCTTAGTGCTTTTTGCACTCAGTAAGCAAGCACACAGAAATAATGAAAATAAACTTTAATCATTTAGGCATGGGCAAAAGAAGGGTAGGAGCTAAAGAGAATCAAGTAGATTCTCACTACACTATTATTAAAGTTACCTGTTGCATTTAAGAGGTCAAGAAGAAATGACCGTTTGTCTGCTTCTTCCACCCAAACTACTTTTTGTGTGATGTTCTCAGAGGTGGAGCCAACTCTGCCTACAGCCAGAAAGATATATTCATCCAAGAAATCACGAGCAAGCATCTAAAAAAGGGAAAAAAACTCTACTTAGTCTCTGATTTCTTAAATTATCTGAAAATGCTTATTTACAAATGTTCTAAAAAATATTAAACCATACCTGTATTTCCTTAGGAAAAGTAGCACTGAACATCATAGTGTGGCGAATACCCTTTGGTGGCATGGTATCTTGTTCAACTATACGTCGTATCTGAGGTTCAAACCCCATATCCAGCATCCTATCTGCTTCATCCAACACTAAGTATCTATTATGAAAAATACTCAGTTTAGAATTTGATGAGAAACTGACCACTGAATATAGTGTAATTCATTCTAACATGCTAGCCTCGAAATACAACATATAAATCACATTAACTATTTGACACCGGGTTAACTATGATTTTCAAAAATTACGAAGTTAAATTATTAAAATTCCTTTCTATTTTTTTTTAAGGTTTTATTTATTTATTTGACAGAGACCAAGATAGTGAGGAGCAGGAACACAAGCAGCGGCACAGGGAGAGGGAGAGCAGGCTTCCCACCGAGCAGGGAGCCCAACCCAGGGCTCGATCCCAGGAACGTGGGATCATGACCTGAGCCAAAGGCAGATGTTTAATGACTGAGCCACCCAGGTGCCCAAATTATTAAAATTCCTTTTTAATCTGAAGACAATCTTACTAAATTACTACAAAATGACCATTAATATAAAAAAAGTTCTACTCCTGAAACCAACACTGCAGTGTATGCTAACTAGAATTTAAATAAAAAACTGAAAGTAAAAACTTTTATCTTATATATATATAAATATTAACACTTACTTGCAGAAATCTAATCCAATCTTTCCTCTTTCCATCATATCCACTAGACGTCCTGGAGTGGCGACTAACAAGTGACACCCACGTTCTAAGTCTCGAATCTGCTGACCAATATCAGCACCACCATAAACCACACAAGGACGAACTCTAGACCGGTATGAAAACTACAAAGAGTTTATTAGATGTTCATAAAAACACCATTAGAATCAATGAAGATGGCAATAATCAGTAAAATGCATACTTACTTTTCTGGCTTCCTCATAAATCTGTACAGCCAATTCTCTTGTTGGGGCTAAAACTAAGGAGATAGGATATTGTTTACGGCGCCCATATCTTCCATTTTCCTAAGAAATGAGAATAATTTTTTTTAAAGATTTTATTTATTTATTTGAGAGAGAGAGAGAGAGCAGGAGAGGGAGAAGCGGGCTTCCTGCTGAGCAGGGAGCCCAACATGGGACTCAATCCCAGGACCCTGGGATTGTGACCTGAGCTGAAGGCAGACGCTTAACGACTGAGCCACCCAGGCGCCCAGAAATAAGAACAATTTAGAAATTAAACTCAAAGACCCCACACTTCTTTTTTTTTTAAACAACTAATCATAGTAAAATTCCCTTTATAATTAAGGATTACATCCAGGGTGCCTGGGTGGCTCAGTCGGCTCAGGTCACGATCTCAGGGTCCTGGGATCAAGCCCCACATCAGACTCCCTGCTCAGCATGGTGTCTGCTTCTCCCTCTGCCTCTCCTCCTCCCATCTGCTCATGCTGTCTTTCAAATAAATAGTATCTTTAAAAAAACAATTAAAAGTAAATAAATAATAAAAAAAGAAAAAGGAATTGAAATAAAACACATTTAGCATTGTTTAGAAAGAAAGATCCCAACTAATAATATTTATAAAGCTTCTTCTATGCTAACAACTTATTTTATAAGGAAATCAATCTTTACCTTCACAGCCTTCAAAGCCTCGCCTGGACCATCTGTATAAATCTGACTTAAGATGGGCAACAGAAATGCTGCAGTTTTTCCAGATCCTGTTAAAAAAATAAATGTGTGGAATCTCCCTTTTAGTGAAAGAAAATTTTACCTCATGCCCAATTTTTTGGAAAATATGGTATATTCATACAGCCAAAGCAAGAATGCCAAGTGATTCCTGTAATCCATTTTAAACAATGCAACCTTCTACTCTTTACATTTTAATTCACATGAAAACACAACCATTTGGTCTCTTCCATGGCATCAACTTTATATCCTATAATACTGTAGGAACATATTAACAGTTTCTAAAGTTTAACAGTAAAGGGAATTGTCCAGTGGTATGTTTTCCTTTGCAGAATAAAAGCCTTGGTTTTAACTGTTTCAATAAAACTTTATTTTAAAAAACAGATCCCAGATTTAGCCTAAAGATGAAATCCTAATTAAACCTAAAAGATGAAAAATCCTTAAAGAAGAAAATATATTATAAATGACTTGAAGTTTCCTTTCTCTATATATGGGAAAATTTTGTATGGAGATGAAAAGTTCTGTTGTCTTTTTACCAGTGCTAAATTCTCATACAGAACTGAACCAACCCTGGGGCGCCCAGTGGCTCAGTCATTAAGCCTCTGCCTTCAGCTCAGGTCATGATCCCAGGGTCCTGGGATCGAGCCCCACATCGGGCTCCCTGCTCC